CACCAATGCTCGTAGCATGGGGAACAAACAGGAGGAACTCGCCCTCAGAATAGCTAGTTCAAATCCAGATGTCGTAGGGTTAACAGAGACGTGGTGGGACTCGTCCCATGACTGGGCAGTTAACATTAGGGGCTATAGGCTGTACAGGCGGGATAGAGAAGGCAGAAAAGCGGGGGGGTGGCACTTTATGTCAAGGAGCACTACACATCCTCTGCCAGCAGTATGGGGTCAGGGGAAGGGCGAGCTGAAGTGCTCTGGGTCAAGATCCAGGGGGGGCAAGGCGAGAGGGATTTGACGGTGGGGGTCTATTACAGACCCCCCAATCAGGAGGAGGAGCTGGACAGGGAATTTTCAGGCCAGCTTGCGGAGACACTAAAAGCAAGGGATGTAGTTGTCATGGGCGATTTTAATTACCCGGACATCTGCTGGGAGGAGCAGTCAGCCGGGACGGACCGCTCCAGGAGGTTCTTGGCCGAGTTGCAGGACCTCCACTTGATTCAGGAGGTGCACAGTCCCACCAGAGGAGATGCTCTGCTGGACCTGGTCCTGGCCGCAGGCGACGACCTGGTAAGAGGCCTCCAGGTTCTTGACCACCTGGGCAATAGTGATCATCGCGTGCTGGAATTCACCATCCAGCGTAGAGTGTCAAGGGCCCGCAGCAAGGTGGTGGCCCTAGACTTCAGGAGGGCCAACTTCAGTGAGATGAGGAGATTAGTGGGAGAGGAACTGGGGTCCTTGAGGGCAGAGGAACTCAGCGTCCAAGAGGAGTGGTCGTTCCTTAAGGAAACGATACTCGGGGCCCAAGGGGTGTCCATCCCGACAAGAAGCAAGGCGGGCAGGAGTGTCCAAAAGCCCCCCTGGCTCACCAAGGGTGTCCGGGAATGCCTGCTTGCCAAAAGGGTGGCGTACGCCCGGTGGAAGGGGGGTGTAATCTCCAAAGAGGAGTATACCTCCTCTGCTCGGGCCTGCAGGCGGGCTGTTAGGAAGGCCAAGGCGGAGATAGAGCTCGGATTAGCGTCCAGGATTAAGGATAACAAAAAGTCCTTTTTCAAATATATTGGGAGGATGAAGAAGGCGCCGGGTAATGTGGGGCCCCTGCAGGATATGCGGGGCAATCTGGTGGTTGCGTCAGAGGATAAAGCGGACCTCTTTAACCAATTCTTCACCTCCGTTTTCTTCACAGTTAGGGTGGCTAGGAGCTGGAACCAACTTCCAAGGGAGGTGGTGCTGGCCCCTACCCTGGGGATCTTTAAGAAGAGGCTGGATACTTACCTGGCTGGACTCATTTGAGTCCCGTTTTTGTTTTTAGGGTGAGTGGTTTTTTTTGGGTTGTTCTCCCGCCCTGGCGGGGGGTCGGGCTAGAAGATCTATTAGGTCCCTTCCGACCCTGAAACTATGAAACTATGACTATCTGTATTTAGCCTTTGGGTTCATTTTCAGTGTATAGTTAACATGAGTTATAATTTGAGTGTTGCCTCTGAATCAACTTCTGCCTCCACACAAAAAGAAAAGGACCTCTCTACTTGCCCAACAGCTCATCTTGGCTGGCCTCCACCTGCTAGCACAGAGGTATCAGACGCCCTTGGCTTCACAGCTGGATCTGGACCACGGGGGCTTCTTGTGAGCCAGATTCAGACCCATCACCAGAAACGGGGCGAGCTTTAGTGGCATTAACTACCACAAGTTCCTGAGCTGCTATTTCAGCTCAGGGATCTGCAGGGATTAATACCGCCATTGCTCACCCTGCTGCCACCAACATGCCCCCTCAGCAGGGCTCTGTACCTTGGAACTGGGTGGCAGCCCCTCCCCCCGCGAAATTCTGAGCCCCTCCAGAAGCCTCGTAGGCTGGAGGACAGCTCCTCAGGTCATATATTTGACACTCCTGGGAACCATTCTTCTGTGTAGACACAGGCTACATGACTGGCTGCTGTTAGTTGTTCAATACCCTCCGACAGTTTTGCCTCGTGTCTAGAACAGACAAACATTTTCCCAGAATCCATCGTGGAACTTCATAGAGCAGCTTGGCTAACTGCAGTAGCAGAGAGAGCCATCAGGTACGCCTCCCAGAAGGATTTGAACCCCACACAGATGACAATGGAACCAGTGCTGATCAGTAGTTTGAATGTCATTTTGCAGTTGTGTCTACTCTCCTTTGAGCAACCTCAGAGTTGGTCTCTCAAGGTCAGCTAACTCTGTAGTGGTGTCAGGCCCAGAGTGAGAGACAATGGTCTCTCCCTAAAGAGTTTACAGATGAAATAGAACAAATAAAGGATGTGAGAGAAGGCAGATCTAAAAAAGGTGACTGATGGATTTAAAAAAGTCAAATTTCCAGTTGCTCTAGTTATCAGGCCATGTGTGAACCTTGACTAACTTATTCTGAAATTAATTTTGAAAGAGAAAAACTTAAAAGGCAGTACATAAAAAAACCCAAGAAGTAATAATAAAATTGCACTGGGACACATATGCTGGGCCTTTCTTTGCCCATCTCCTTTCATGGACACAGGTACATTGCATGAAATAAGAGAACACACAACTGGGCAAAATTCCTCAATGAGAGGCCTTGCGATTGTCAGATTTCCTTTCAAAATAACCTCTTAAGAGTTTCTCTACTCTATATATTATTTTTGCCCCTCTCATATACAAGCATCTATCCTAGCTGAGGCAAGCTAGAGCCAGCACAACCATGTATCCCTATTATCTAAGCAATGCCTTTTATTCATGGTTTATCAAAAAAATCAATGAGCAGTCTCTAACTAGGGTGTTATGAGAATCGCTGACTCATGAGCAGCATATACTTATCTAAACTTTATAGGTCAAAAGGTGTAATTATTTTTATTGGAGGAGTGACGATAGTTATACTCATATAAACCTGTGTGTGGATATAATGAGGCTGATATGAATCTGTCCTATGCTGGTTTCATTTTGACCACCTGCTGTATAATAAAGGTGTACCAGTGTATATAGGTATACTTGTTTGAAAGTGTTTTTACACTACCGTAGCTGTACTGATTTAGCCAGCACTTAAAATAGTGCAACTATTTTGTGCACAACTAAGCCAACAGGTAGAGAGGTTTAATTTCACTCATTACTGAAATATAGAGTTGCCTCTGTTCTGTACTGGAACACAGCAACATTTTAGGTCCAAGGGTTTTGAAAAACTTATTTAAATCACAGTCAAAAGGAAAGTATTATTAAGCAAATATAGATTGTCTACAGGCCAGGAAGATTAAACATTCATATCTATATGCAAAGTGCTTTTGGAGATTTAATGACCATTGTTGAGAAAGAGATACAAGATCAGATGCACGCTCTGTTTCTAGCATTGGTCCCTGATAAGTCATGCCTGCATTTGTCCAGGAACAAAAAATATTCCGGAATTGGCATGTACATGTATCACCCTTCTAATCAGGACTTAGTGAGCAGTTGAATGTTGTGCTGCTTTTTCCCCCATTGTTTCAGTTATGCAATCCTGGAACTGTACAGGTGTACTTTGCAATATCCCAAGATAAACTGTTACTACCTCCTATCCAGGAAATTGTTTTTAGGATTTATTCCAGGACAATGGATAAGGGAGGCTGTATGATTGCATTTGTCCTGGGATAAATGTGATATTTGTTTGCTGCCCAATAGATTTTCAGTGCAAGTGGCTACAAGCTCATGTTTACAGTGTTCTATGCTGGTGTCTATGATTGATTCAGAGACAAGAAAATGAGAAGGAGAAGGCAGTGAAATATCAGTGCTACGTATTTGTAGCACTCAAGTTTCTTCTGATCAAGGGAGGATGAATTGCTCAGGCAAGTACTAGGCAGCAAGAACAGAAGCAGAATGTTGGCACCTTTGTCCAAGACTGCAGGCCAGAAAGTTCCTGCTTCGCAGGTGCCTATCTTTGCATGGAGCCTCCCTGTTTGACTTGCAGGCTTCCTGGACACCTGCAGCTCCACGCCGACTGTGTGCCCAGAACAGCTTCTCTTTGCAGCTCTGATTCAGGGACACTTCAGAGAGGTGGGAGTTCAACCTCACCCCTACACTCAGTGGGCATGTCTACATGTGTGCTTTAATGTGCAGTAGCTTATTTTACTGAGCATTAAAGGCCCATGTAAAAAAAACTGTGTGATTACACTAATGTGCAGTAAAATAGGCTACTGTATGTAGCATCGCTTAAAGCCTCTGTGCATTTGTTACTGTGCATTAAGGCAGGATAATGTGCATTTGTTTAGTACCTCACATTGGAGGTACTAAATTTAATGTGCATTCGAACAAAGTGCCTTAATGTATGTGTAGATGTGCCCAATGTTTCCTATTGACTTTGCCTAGCTGACTTTTTGCATAGCATCCAAGTTTCTTGGATTGCCCTGCTGAGGCACCTTATTCCTCCTATACATTCAATTGGGAGAGAAAGTGCCCTGTTTCCTGGTTTTGGATTCCACTCTGGGTTCAGCATTTAAAATTTAGGTGTTACAGTGCCTTTTCTAAGCCTTCTTTTTTGGAGTTGGCCCTTCTGAGTCATGTTGCCTGGCTTTTGAGAATGGGCAGTTGCACAGCACAAATATGGTGGATCCCTTGTCCATTTTGGATGAATTTACGAGGCAAATTTTCTTAACATCAGATAAAGTTCTATTTCCAAGAGGTAAATGCAGCACTTTGCCCCATTCCAGTAGATAAACAGAGCTATTCTAAAAAAAAACAAACCCAAAAAACCCAGTAACATCTTAAAAGCTTTCTAGGAGCTCTCAATTCTAAATCCCAGGGGGAGATCCAACTGTTCCCATTTCTAGCCCAGTCATTTTTTTAAGCAACAGGCAACAAGATAATTTCAACTTTAACAAAATGGAAGAGATGATTCACTTCTCTAAACAGAACTGTTACATTCATATATGAATTAATTTCAAATACACACTGCTTCAGTTATTCATACAATGAGATACGTACCACTGCAATCCAACAGAAAGTCAATAGTAAAAGTTCAGAATTAAATGTTTTTAGCTTAGTTTTGTTTTTACCTTCCACTCCAGTTACACCAAGCTTTAAAGTCTTTCTCTGAGCACGTCTTTCTTTCCGCCCTGATTTGTTAGGACCAGGCCAATCTTCTATGCGTCCTTTCAAAAAGAGAAGGCAAGAGTTTTTTTTTTTAAAACCTTTAGAGACTCATGTCTAAGTAGTTTGCTTGTAAGTCAGCAGAGTTGCATGTCAGACAGAGAGAGCCTGTTACTTCCTTATAAGATCAGCTGTGCTTTAAAGATTAGAGGGTGGGGCAAATTGCCTAGCCACATGACTAAACTGGAAGAGTCTAACAGTTTAAGGAGAGGGAAATAAAACTTTTGTAGCACCTACTGTGCTACAAGGCAAACGTAAGTATATTTCATCAAGGTGCAAAGCATGTAACTCATTCTACCCCTTTTTCTTTTTGCCATATGGATGTTATATTAAACCACAATGTTGAAACAAGCACTTTTGCTTTCTTAGGTATTTGGATAATAACCAGATCCCTTCCTTCATAAGGAGTAAAATAATATTTATATAGTTTCATATCTCAATTTATATAGTTTCATATCTCAATTTTTTTTTTCAAAAAAGGCATAGAAAGCATCAGTTAAGCACTAGCAGGATTCTCAAACTGATGACACAGCATTATTATAATTAGATATTTTCTACAGAGCTGCTATAATACTTAGACCAAAGCTGTAATCCAGCTGCAAGGACATGGCTAGTTGCCAAGGACAACAATAGGTTTTAAAAACTGTGGTTGTCACCAAATCAGGTGTCTACTGCTTGGTAACTGCTCATCCCCTGCTTGTGAAAGACCCTGAGTTGATAAAAACAGAATGAATACCTGGCATTTACCCACAGAATGAGACCATGGTAGGATATTTTCTTGCAGCTTCCTCCCAACACATCTCCACTTCTAGGAATAGGAGGGTTCAGTCTGTGCTCTCCTCCAAAAAATCACTGCAAGGCATGTAGGGTTTGTGGCTGGTTTTGGTGAAAGTAGGACTTCCAGTTTCTTACAGGGAATGTCAACCCTCTAAAGTCTTTCACCACAAATAGTGCATTTCCAGGGAACAAATGGTTCTTGGGTTTGCACTTGTGCTCACTCATGTGCAGTGGGCTTACACACTCAAGGCTATCTTATAGTTTCATACTTGTAAGGGGCTGGAAGGGACCTTACAGATCAAATTCAGCCCTCCTGAACATGTGCAGGAAAGACTGACCCCAGCAAAGTGGGCTACAAGACACTTTTTAAAAGATCACTAGGGTGGGTGACTACCACCTCCGAGGGGAGCATGTTCCAAACCTTCAGCACCCAACTTGTAAAGAAGTTTTTCAGTTTGTGCCCATTATTTCTTGTCCTCCCCTGGGGGGCTTTGGTGAATAGATGCTTCCCCAGGCCCTAATGTGTGTCCCAATATACTTGTAGGCTGCCACCAAGTCCCCTCTGAGTCTTCTCTTCTCCAGGCTGAACAATCCCAAGTCTTTCAGCGTCCGTTCATATGATCTGGTCTCTAGGCCTCTAATCATGTGCATGGCCCTCTTTTGGACTTTGAGGTTGGGGGGCTGCTTATAAAAGTCAGAATAGGTTTGTCCCTTTTAGCTACCTTGAGATGGGGGTTGCATTGAGCTAGAAGGGAATGGGTCAGTGAAGAAACGGCAGTTTGAGTGACCTGAGGAAGGACATTTTCTACCCAAAAGCTCACCTAACACTTCTCCCAATTATACACTTGGTCCAATAAAAGATATTACTAAACAAATGCTGTTTCTCACCTTTTATGGATTATCATGGTCACAAATCTTCATGCAAGCAGTGCCGTAGCAAGAGGGGGGAGGGATAAGCAAGGTGACCACCCCGGGCGCTGAAGAGGAGCACCAACAGGTGCTGTACAGCTGGGTTGGGGCATAGGATAGAGCCGTGAGCAGTTCATTTGGGGGAGTACAGGGACAGGGGAAGGATGGTTCCCACCACTGTGTGCACTCCTGGGAAAGCATGGGAGGGCGTGTGCCCCCTGGGTCTGTGCACAGCATGAGGGCGGGCTGCTGCTGCGAGCTTTGCCTCAGACGCCAAACTTTGTTGCTACGGCACTGCATGCAAGCCTGTCATTTCCTTCCTCTTTTATTAGTGAGATCTGGCTTCAGAGGAGTAAGAGCAGGCATGAAGATAATATATTGCTGCTTATCAGCAAGTTCTTTCTTTATAGCTTGAAGACCCTTCTTGGATATGCTGCAAAGCACTAGGCAGGATGCACCACATGCAATGTTAGATGATGCCAAGCCACTTTGCTATAAGAGAATTCTGGAAAGAGATCTATAACACTGTAGGAAACTTGAGGGGAAAAAAAAAGATCTTAAACTGTCACTTCACATTTGACTGTATAGCTCTTTGCAGCCAAGTATCCCAAGGCCATTCACACATAACATACACTATAGGAATTTCATGTCTGGCAGACTGAACACATAGAGGATTTCAGTAAAAGTTAAAGTGAGTTACTGCCAGAATTAAGTAAAGAGCAGAGCAATGCTGATGTTTGGTCCACATACATAGCTGGCCTTCATTAGAATTTAAAGAGTATCTTTTTTTTTTTTTTTAACCTATGCCATAGTTTCTCAACCTGTGGTACATGTACCCCTGGGGGTATGCAAGACACAGGCAGGGGGCGTGTGGGTACCTCATCACTCTCTCTCACCTTCTTTTACTTTCAAAACTATGGCAAAAAATTTGATGCAATTTGAAAAATTACATTCCCCAGTAATAATTTGGTGTTCAGCCCTCCTAGCTTTGGCCAACATCACCTCTAGCCTCGGTACATACTTAAGTTGGGCACCCCTAGTGTAAAAGGTGGCAACCCTAACCACACCAGATCAGACATCTGTCATATCATGGTCTTATATACACAGTCCTTCTTCCAACTTATGGCACACATTAGTCTGCAAATATAAAATCCCCTGGAAAATTAAATGTTGGGGTAATTATTAAAATTTTCACAAGTTAGGGGGTACTTGCTACTTAAAAAGTTGAGAAACACTGACTTATGGGATCCATTTCAGATCAGTTTTATACCTCTGTTAGTCAGGGAAAAAGCTGCAGTCTGGTCAACACCAGGAGTTACACTAACACAAGTCAATGTCTATTGCAAAAGGTTAACATGCAGCCACATAGTCATTTGATAAGAGCCACAAAACTGAAGTATGGTGCTGGCTAGTGTGTGGGCCGGGCGCGCCCCGAGCCCTTTTTCGCGCTGCACGCAGGCTGTGGCCAGCAGCCCGGGCACGCGGGGGCGGAGAGGGGTGGCTTTCGCTCTGGAATTAGGCACGGACGCGTATTGGTAGTTTAAAAGATTGTTTACTTACACCGAGATGGCAGTGGTGTAGGCTGGAAAGCTTGCTTCAGTTGCAGTTACAGAGAAGAAAAAGGAAAGAGGCGGACAAGAGTTCTAGACTCGTGAACTCTAGCCCAATCCGGCTGAAGGCTCTGAACACGCGAGCCCGTCGCGTCAGCCGAAGAAAGTACTCGTCCGGAAGAGCTCTGAACCAACTCACACGAAGTTTGCTAGGCTCCGTGGGTCCAGTTCTTTTG